TTCCGAGAGCGACGTTTTAATTAAGAGTTTTCCTTCCTCAAGGTGGTTGTCAGACATGCTGTCCGCCTCAGGTAAAGGCCGTCACCTCACACTTCCTCAGGCAGAGGAGTGGTTAAAACGAGGGGCCTAGAGATGCCTACACCTTAGCTGAGACAATAAAATTGTTACTTAGAGGTTATTGACCAGGGCATGATAAAACCCGGTATTAAAAGAGATTAAGATACACTTGTACAGCTTAAGGGAAGATGGACTTTCATTAGCATCACTCCAATGACTTATTCAAAGGGAGGAAATTCAGAATTCATTAAGAAATCCTTAATAGAGCTCCAGAGTGAATGCTGAAGAGCATTATCGAGGCCAATAATTAAACAAAAAAAAAAAAAAAAAAAAACAACCAAGCTTGCGATGGTTGTGTTGATAGCTATAGGAGGTTTAACGTTGCGCTGCTGCTGGGGCCGGCCTGCTCTGTGCCTGCAGCCGCTCTGGCTGGATCACAGCCCCTCGCAGGCTGCCGTCCCCCCAGCTTCCCACAGCTCCAGTAACGCGGGCGGCAGCTCCCAGCACCCCTTCACTGTGGGTGCTGCTTTGTCTTTTTGGGGAAATCTCATCCCCTGCTGCAGTACTGCGTCTCCTAAATTCTGCACCTTCACCTCAGGGTGGACTTGTCCAACTCAAATAAATCGCATCAGCTGCCAATGTTGTCACCTCATTGCTCATCATTTCTTCCCTTCACTTTACATGTCTGTTTACAACAACACTGGCACCAAGATGGAGATACCCCACCTGCTAGACCTCTGCACGCTGAGAACTGGCCTTTTATTCCTACCCTGGTTCTGCTGACTCTCAGCAGTTCATAGTCCCCAGGAGAGGCTTGTTTGTTGTTCTCTAGCCATTTTGACAATTTTTAACATTGTCTTTTGAGGGACTTTGTCAAAACTTTCTGGAAAAATCCCAAGTAAGTTACATCAACTTATTTTCCTTTACAGGCTAGTCTCCCTGGCTTGCAGGGCTTTTCAGGACATATGACTCTATTTTTCCAGTGCCAGCAATCCTAGCAAAATATAAGATTTTTTTAAAAAAAGAACACCCACATCGGCTCCTATTTGGGAGGGATGTTTTTCCCCTTATGCAGAAGCAAAGTGTAGCTTCACATTCATGAAGAAAGAGCCATCCCTCCAGGGTCTCACACCCAGGCTTGTACCTGAGCAAGATGAGCATGGTAGGAGATCATCACACAGGTCCACAGCCAAGCCAGGAATCTGACACTTCTGCAGCTCAGGAACTGAAATAGGGCTCTGGGGAGCAAAAATAGGGCTTCAGGGAGCATGGGAGGGATGTGGGTCCTGGCCTCAGGTGAGGCTGGTGAGGGCCATTAGGGCTAATTAAGGCTAATTAGCCCCATCAGCATGTGTGCAGCCCAGGGGCCAGTGTTCACAGGGATCAGCACCATCTATCCCAGGCAATGGGAGGAAGGAAAAAAAAAAAAAAGGGGGGGGATTTCAAATTCAGGATAAAAGCCTGGCTCCTGCTTTTTGTGCTGCATGCGCAGGTGCAAAAATCCATTTTAAACAAAAATGTGTCATCAGGAGCAGCACGCAGCTGCTTGTTTAAATAGTTTGCGTTGTCAGGGAAAAAGGTAGGCTTCTGAGAAGCTCCTGGATGGCTCTTTTTTTTCAAAGTATAACTAAATTTGGCAATAGCAGCTAAACAAATTCCCCAGTACGGGCTCTCGGATATCACAAATATACTGGGATCTGGGGTATGGTTTGGAGAGCGTAGCAACATACCTAGCAACCATAACAAATAAAAATGTCGTGGTTCAGCTCCTCATTAAAGCCCATAACGGGATTAATAAGCGTTCTGGCGTGCGTGCTTGTGCTTTCGCTTCAGCAAGGGTTCAAACTGTGATACGAATCTGCGGGGTGGGAGGAGACACGGCAGCGGCGATGGACGTGCCATGCACCGGGCGTGAACTTCTCGGGGATGCCAGATAGGTAATAAAATTCAGATATTAACCCACAGTTGAAAGTAACCTTGCGTTCTCTTGTGTGTTAAAGAGATAAATGTCTTTTGTTTGCCTGGATGTATCTCATTAAACTGAAGGCAAGGAGAAGGGCAGGGACACTCAGGGCTTTGGATGCTCAGCCCAGAAAGGCCCATCAGGAATGTGTTTTGGGAGGAGGAGGATGAGGAGGAGGAAAAAATGGGTCATGAAGGCCATGGTGGCCTCCTCTCTCCCCTGCCCTGAGGTTGAGGCTTGTCTCCCCTCCTGGGGTGAAGAGAAGAGGGAGCACTTTCCCACACAAACCTCAGAAATTCAAAGGTGTCGTATATTTCTCCTGGCACCTTGGTGGGTGCTGCATAGCCTCCCTGAAAGGCCACCTCTGTGTGAGATCTTCGGCCTCTGCATCCTCACACCCCCACCCAGCCTTTTGGGGTGATAGACTGTGGCTTTGGGGCTTGGGCAGGGCAGCCAACCTCTCCTGGGGTGTACAGAGCACATCTGGAGGCAGCTGCACTGGGGACCGCCTGCCTGCAGCCTGTGGAAGGGGAGCAGAAGCAAACCAGCTATTTTTTGAGCTCCAAAATATTATTATCCCAAAGAGAAGCTGTATTTACCAGGGCCAGAAGAGCCTCTCTCTGCACATTCCAGGCTTGGGAAGTCTGCAAGATGCTGGAGTGGCTGCTCTGGGAGGGGAAAAAAAATTAAAAAAAAAAAAATCTCCTTTAGTCAGCTCAAATGCTGGCCAGAGGTTCGCAGCCCAGTCCAGACACTGGAGAGCCGACCTTAAACGTTTCTGGGGCTGAAAGGGAGATCTGCAGCCAGCTAATGCTGGGAGAGACGGCTGAGCGTCCAGGCTCCAGTCCTGGCCCTCGAGGCGGGCGAGAAGCGGCTGGGAGGACGGGCACGGCTTCACAAGCCCCGGCGGCATGCCAGCCTGTCCCGGAGAGGGGAAACCAGTTCACCCTGGCCTCGGGAATTAGGAAAATGTTGTCATTTTGGGGCTGTGCTATGAGGAAGAGCCTCTAGTGCGAATGTCCAAGCGCCCGTCTCCAGCCTCATTAGCTGGTTAAAGCATCAGATGGAAACTATTCTGCCCTGTCAGGAACTTATCCTCTTATGGATTCCTGGTTTTTGGTTCCCAGAGCCTGGCAAAGCGGGGAGGGGGAAAAGTGCCATCAGTGCAAGGATGACGAAACGCATTGTTCACCCCGTCAGAGGTACTGCAGCCAGGAACGGGCGGCGGAGACAGCAGAGGTAAGGCACCAGGAGCTGCTCCTGGCACATCCCTGGCCTCCTCTTCTGCATTTCATGGAGGAGCACGTCCCCAAGCGCAGGGATCTCTTTCTCATCCCTAAAACATGGCAACGGCCCATTGCAGAAGCACGTCCGACCAGGCTGGGCAACCATGGCTGGGCAGACCCTACTCTGGCAAACCACAGGCTCTGGGCTGCCCGCTCCGTAGCATTCTTTCTCCTAACTTTGTTTTCTTGCCCCGAAGCTGTCCGTCCCCCTTCAGCTTTTCCTAACAAATAAAGTAAAATAAAATATTCCTTCTCATTTCAGCTCAGCTCCTCTCCTGTTAGGGCTTTTGTCTTCCAGCAGCGGTTTTCGGTGGCGTACGAGGACGCAGCCAGCCGCCTCCGCAGCGCTGCTCTCTTATCTAAGGCGCTAATTTAAAACACACGCCGAGCTGGGTTCACGGGGATAACTGCTTCCTTTCCTGGACAAAATGCGACTTGGCTGAGGTCCGGGTAGCTCCGAGGAAAACCTTGTCGCATCCTGGGATGCAGGCGCGCGGCGGAGCGGTCCAGCGGCGTGTCCTGCCCGTTCCCTGTCTGACGATGCCCATCATCATCCTCCGATCGCAGCCCCGGCTGCGCACTGAGCTGGCACCTGCAGGGTTTCACCCCCCGCGTCCCTGCGGGGGAAGGGAAGGGTGCGTTTCGCCAGGCCTACCCCCACGGACCAAATTTTGTCCGTGCGTTTTTCTTCTCCCCATATCCTGGGACCCTCTGGGTTGCCTTTGGCAGAGTCCTCTACGTCTGTGGGTGCATCTACCTCTACCTCTGCTCTTACGCCACAGAGCTTTAAAGGACATTTTTCCCTGGCAGGCTTTGTCCGTTCCTGTGCACGCTGAGGAAATAAAGCTGGGCACATCCCCACCATCTGTGTTGCAACCCAGTTTCTCTTGCAGCACAACCTGCTGCAGGGCGTTCTCAAGCCAGGTCCAAAAAGCCTTCTCCTTGCCCATGCTGAAGCCAGCTGCGTGGTGACACCACCCCCCCACACACCCCCCACCCCCCCCCCCAGGGTTAACAGGGTGTCCTCAGCAGGACAGGGAGGTCCTCTTCCCTTGGGAGAGGATGTTTCTGAGGGAGGCAGCACGGAACCACCCCACCAGCCTCTCCTTTCTTCTCTCCTGATGGTCCTCCCGGGCTTTGTCCTCCTGCAGCTGCACCTCTTGCCCTGCAGACCTCCACCACCCCCACCTAAAACCAGGCCACCCCTCTCTACCACCACCTGCTTTTGAAAGCAGCTACGCTTTCAGAAAATAATTTCATTTTAATATTTTATTTATTTATTTTTTTAAGCACTCGGGTGGAAGAGCCAGCCTGTTGAGTTTTCATTTCCCTCCCCCCAGTGCAACCCTGGGATGCATTTCCCTGCCTGGCTCTGCCGTCCAGCCGGAGCTCTCGCCAACCAAAACATCCTCCATCCGCTGTGCCCGGGCTCCGGCAGCCCCGCGCTGGCAGCGGCGGGGAGCAGGCGCTGAATGTCCCTCCTTGTTCTGCAGGGAAAGGTCCTACCCCTCTCCCGAGCTCCCATGGAAAATCCGTACCCCTCCTCCCCGCCCACCTCCCCCCCAAAAAAAAAAAAAAAAAAAATCCAGGAACTCAATTCCCTTCCAAGCAACATAATGCAGAAAAATAAAAATAAGGGAGGCAGGTTCTTGCCCCACAGAGCCTGAGCCCCCCATTGAGCATCGCCCCCAGGCTGCACGTGCATCGGGTATTTTATTCTGCTCTGCACCTGCTCAGAGGTTATAGCATCGTTTAATTGTACTAAAACCAGCATAATTGAGAAACATGCATAACGTTGGGGTTTTGTGGTTAACATGCACAAGCGCTGCACCAAGGAACGGGTACTGAGGGGGAAGGGTGCAAGACAGGGGGAGGTGGGGGGGGGTGTGTGTGTCGTGTCCCCCTCCCAGTACACGTTACAGCTATTCCCGGAGCTGCTTACACACAGCAAGGAGGAGGCTGTGGCTGATGGAAAAATTAAATATTCACACCTTGAGTCCCTTCCAAGCGCAGCTGAAGCTCCCCCCCCCACGCCAAGGTCCTGGCATTGGGGGGGGGGGGGGGGGGGGGCAGGATACACACACACAGAGCCCAGTTTAGGAAGTTGAAGAAGCTGCTGCCCACAGGCTGAAGCTTGGGACAGCCCCAGCCCATCACCCACAGGGTGCTGGGACCCCTCCTTTGCCCAGCAAGCACCATCCAGCTTGCCCAGGAGGGCACCAAGAGACAACCGGGTCTTGTGGGGATGGATGTTCATGGATTTTTCCCGGTTTCAGTCGATCCCAGGGGTTTTCTCGGCATCTGAAGGGGGGCAGAGGCTGTTTTTATGGGGCTGGGGTCAGTGCAAGCAAGCCCAGGCCAGCAGGGAGGAGGGCAGTAGCCGCTGTGAGCCTCCGTCCTCCCGCAGGCACCAGCTTAACTTATTTCCTAAAGAAAAAGAGGAATTAAAAAGAAAATAAGGGCTGTAGTTTCTTTCTGCTGTTCTCTGTAGGTGCCGAGGCTGTGGGACATTGTCCTTCTGGAACCTCGGATGAGGATGATGCTCCACTCCTATGCCCCGGCAAGCGGGTAAACCCTGCACCCGATTTCTTTTGCACCTCATTTGCCTTTTCCCCCTCCCCCCCCCCCCCCCCCACGTAGGTGGATGTAAAAGCCACCTGGGCAGAATAACCTTAACGCAGAAGGGAGGATGGTTGGCTGCAGAGAGGCTTCAGTGTGGGATGTCACCTGGAGCTCCCACTACACGCCTGCCTCCAGGGCTAGCGCTTTCGAGTGGAGGATGCTGAGCAGGGACCATCACCGTCGGGGAAGCCACCCCGACTGCCACCTCTCCTAAAACTCATAGGCAGAGACAAAAACGGTGATTTTGGACACGTGCTTGGCCTGGAAGACCCGATCCAGGTACTCTGACATGTCCACATCCACCTGGATGGTCTGGGGACCCTTGAGGCTCTGCACCAGGATGAGCTCCCCAGTTTGCCGGTCCGAGCGCTGCATCACGAAGTGGCCGCGGTTGTTGCCCCCCACGATGCCGAAGCGCAGGCTGTCGGGTCCCGGCCGGCCGGGCGCCGCCGCCGTGGCCATGCGGAAGAGCGGGGTGGGCGTCAGGAGGTTGGACGGCAGGGGAAGGTAGTGGAAGGAGATGGTTTTGGGTGCTTGGTGGCATGACCGGCTCTCCATCGGGCAGGGGTTGCGCTCGCACTGGCTGCAAAAGGGAAAAGCGAGGGAGGGGGAAGGGGAGGTTTTCAGGGAGCCCCATGGATGCGGGGTCCGTGTCCCCCCCCACCTTGGCGGCACTGGACCCATGCAGATGCTATGCACGTGGTTTTGGAGCACAGCAGCCCCCCAAAAACCAAAGCAGGGACGGGTTTTACACCCCGCTGCACTCACAAGGGTGATGTTTTGACGTAGGTGACGTTGCCGGCAGGCTGGGGGCACTGGGGGCTGACGCACTGGAAGCCCCCCCCCGTGTTGATGCAGGTGGTTCCCCTCGTGCAGTTATCCTGGGACAGGGCACACTCATCGATGTCTGCAAAACAGGGGCGGGCAGAGGGTCAAGCTCACCGGAGACCTCCAACCGACCTCACTGTGGGGTTCTTTTGGGCGGAAAATAAGCAAAAGCACCTTGAAATGGGTCAAACATCAAACACGTTCAAAAAATGTATGACAGTATGGCTGAAAATACCTAAATCACCTGAAATCCCGATCTGCGCCTGCTCTCCTCTCCCTGAGCTCTGCCCTGGGCCAGCGAGGGTTAAGAGCAGCAATCTCGCAGCAGGAGGGCAGCTTATTTTCCTAACTTTCTGCTAAGTTGTTTGAAAACACCATCTCTTTTTATTTACTAAACACTTATGTAACCCCTAAGATACCCAGCAATAAAATCAGGAGCTTTGAATGCAGATATTTTCTGGGAGCATTAGCAAGATGCTATGAAACACACAGAAATGAGGGAGAAAAGGCAAAAGTGCGAGTTTTCTCACCATGAACTGCCATAATCAACATTTTATAGCACCAAAAATAATCCCTGTTTTTCAGGAGGAGACCTTCATATGAGCAGTTCTGGCCACCCACCATCCCTACCCACTGCTGCTTTGCTTCGCTCTCAACCCACACCCCAACACCTCTTTTTTAGGAGAAGCTGCCAGCCACCGAGCTGACCCCCTTGCCACGTAATCCTTGGGGTTTAATGCAACTTGTGTTTCTTCTCAGGGATGCCCCATTCATGGGGGACAGTTCCACCACCGCAGGCGGGGCGCCCATGCTCTTTTTTTGGCGAGATGCCACCCCCAGCATTTGCCGGTGCACGACCCTCCATCATTTTCCTGCACCCAAGCCTGGGAACCACCTCTCTGCAAAAATGCTTGCAAGCAAGGAAAAAAAAAAAAAAAAACAAGAAAGAAAGAAAAAAAAAAAAAGGGCAATTGTGCACGTTGAGGGGGGGGGAAGTGGTAAACCCGTGGGTTACCTTCGCAGCTCTTGCCGTCGCCCAGGAGGACGTACCCGCCGGGGCAGGCGCAGCGGTAGGAGCCGGGGAGGTTGACGCAGGCGTGGGCGCAGAGCCGGGGACCCCCCTCCCGCTTGTACACCTCGCACTCGTTGAGGTCTGCGGAGAGACCAGGGGAAGGGGTGCAGGGGCGAGATCCTGCAGCCCACCCCGCTGCCATCCCGTGTGTGTGCCTGTGTCCCCCCCGTCCCCGCTGCCATCCCATGTGTGCCTGTGTCCCCCCCGTCCCCACTGCCATCCCGTGTGTGTGCCTGTGTCCCCCCATCCCCGCTGCCATCCCACGTGTGTGCCTGTGTCCCCCCATCCCCGCTGCCATCCTGTGTGTGCCTGTGTCCCCCCCATCCCCGCTGCCATCCCGTGTGTGTGCCTGTGTCCCCCCCATCCCCGCTGCCATCCCATGTGTGCCTGTGTCCCCCCCATCCCCGCTGCCATCCCGTGTGTGCCTGTGTCCCCCCATCCCCGCTGCCATCCCATGTGTGTGCCTGTGTCCCCCCCGTCCCCGCTGCCATCCCGTGTGTGTGCCTGTGTCCCCCCCGTCCCCGCTGCCATCCCGTGTGTGTGCCTGTGTCCCCCCATCCCCGCTGCCATCCCATGTGTGCCTGTGTCCCCCCCGTCCCCACTGCCATCCCCTGTGTGCCTGTGTCCCCCCGTCCCCCCCGCTCCCCCCCCGGCGTGGCTCACCCTGGCAGAGGCCGTTGGCGGCCGTGCCACTCATGTGGAAGCCGGGCTCGCAGCTGCAGTGCTGGGTCCGGTCGATCTGGGCGCAGCGGGGCTGGCGGCTGAACGCTGGGTCGTCCGTGACGCTCCAGGCTGGGGGAGCTGGTGGGGTGGGGGGTGGGAGGGACACACAGACATCGTGGGATGGGGTTTGAAATGAGGTGGGGTGACAAAATAGACCGGGGGGAGGGGGTCACCCACCCATCTGTGCCTGGTACTGGCAGGTGGCTCCAGTCCACTGCTGGGGGCAGAGGCACTTGTATTGGTTCAGCCCCTCCAGGCACGTCCCGCCGTTCTGGCAGGGGCTGCTCGAGCACTCGCTGATCTCTGCAAAATAGCCGCATTTTTGAATTTTATTTTATTTATTTTGTTTTGTTTGGGAAGCAAGCCACGGGAACGCCGCATGCACCAGGCCACCTTGGTACCCCGCAGCACGTTATAACCGCATGTTTTGCCCAACTCAGACAGCGGCTGTTTCCGATGCTGCAGTGCTGCCCCGGTGCAAAGGTTTGCTGTGACACAGGGAGCCATCGTAGCACTGATGCCTTTTCCCCTCATCTCTGCTGCTGAGCGGCAGGTGAGGCTCCAGCTGTAATTTCCAGCTTTCCTTGAGGACAAGAAGCCCCAAATCACCGGCCACGGGAGCCACAGCATCCCTGAGATGTTGGCTAGTTGGAACTCGGGGACAGCTGCGATACCTCCCCGTTTGGTGAACCCCAGTAATCCTCCGTGTTTAATTAAACCCAAATTGCGTCCCACTCTTGCAGGTGACAGCCACGGGCACGGGGCAGCCCTGCAAAACCAGGGCAGTACCTGCGCAGCGGGGCTCCTGCCCGCTCCAGCTGCCGTTGGCCTGGCACGTCCGCGTGCTGGAGCCCAGGAGCTGGAAACCCGGGTCACAGGTGAAATGAACCTCGTGCTCCGCCAAATATTTGGTGCCAAACTTCCTCCCGTCCACGGGGGCTTGCAGGGCAGGGCAGGAGGCTGCAAGAGCACCGTGGGGAAGGGGGGGGGGGGGGGTCAGTGTTCAGGCAGGTGCTTTGGGGGAGCACCACCTTGTCTTTCCTGTCCCCAACTCTACCTGAACCATGGTTCGCCCAGGTCCTCCGAGACCTCCTCTTTAACTGTTATTTTCCTCAAATACTGGCCTGATGAGGTTAATCAGTAACACCCAGCCCCACACTGAAAGCCCAGCAGGGATGCTGGGGCCGAGCATCGCTGACCAGGGGGTTGGTGGCATTGTTACCCATCTCATGCTCCCAGCACAGGACTGTGGCTTTCTTTGCTGGAGATACGGTTTTCCAGCCCACTGGCCTCCAGTGCTTTGCCAGGAGCTCTCTGCTTTGCAGCTAAAGGCTTTTGAGCCTCCTCACATCTTACCAGCCTGGAGAAGTGCTCGAATTCACAAGCACAAATTGCCAATATGGATACAGGTATCTCTATCCATGGAGATGCCCAAACCTCTTCTACCCATCACGACCCCGAGCATCCCAACCTGCCAATCCCCAGTGTCCTCCAAGGCCATCAAAGCAACTGCTGGGACCCGGGGGGACACGACTCACCGGCCGGCGGCTCGGGGGTGGCTTTGGCCAGGGAGGCGTGCAGGGTGCTCAGCCGGCTCTTCATCACGCGGAGGCCCTCGGCGAAGCGCGTCTCCTGCCCCTTCAGCAGCTGCTGCATCTGCCGGATGGCGGCCAGGAGCTGCTGCCTGCTGAGGCAGCTCTGCGGGGACGGGACGGGGCGGCCGCTCAGAGAGGGGGAGGAATTGCTCCGACCCCCATCCTGCCGCATCACCCGGCACCCAACCTGCTGCACGCAGCCTGCCCTGGCTGAGGGGGGGACGCTCGTGCAGGAGCTCCACAGCATCAAATGCACCCTGAGATACCTGATTTTGTAATTTCCGCCCCCCTCCCTCCCCCCCATTTACCCATTTTAGCCTGTGCGAGAAGCCTTTAGCTCAGGCATGCTCTCCTGCATCTAAACGGGTAACGCAGCGCTAGGAGCAGGGCTGTAATCACTTTGTTAACCCTGGGAGAGATGCCATAACTCATGTTTCATCCTGCTTGGAGCTAGAGCTCTGTCCCACTTCCACATTACAAAATAAGAGGAAAACAGCTGTCTTGTGAGTTCTGCAGGGGCCAGGAACACTGGTGGGACTCCTGCCTGCAAACCGATCGCTACCACGGGACTGACTCATGCAGGAGACGGGCATCGTTATTATAGGTTTCCTGCAGAATTGCCTTAAAACCAAAGAAAAAGAGCAAGGGCTGAGCAAAGCGGAGCCGGTTTTAGGGCTCAGAGGTTCACAGAGCACGTGGCAGGGGGAGAGCACGCGGGGTCTGGTCTGGGTGGCACAAGGCTGGGGGCAAACAAGCTCTGGGAAAGCGAGCCGAGCTGCTGGGCACTGGCCCACCTGGCCCAAGGGATTTCTTTCCGTCCCGCCCCCCCCAACCACACCGTACAGGGGTGAAGTTATTCTCGTTTCCAAACAGCTACTGAAGGTTTACAAAGGAGAAATAAAAAGCCAGCCCCAAGCAGCGTGCTGTGTTCTGCTTCCCTTGGTGCAGTTTTGGGGGGGGGTCCCGGGCTGCCGGTGGGGATGAGCCAGCCTGTGCCTGGAGCTCTGGGGTGCCCCGTGGCGCGAGGGAGGGAGGCAAAAGCAAATAGATGCCTGGCATGTAGCTCGCTTTAATAAACAGCTCTTTGTTAGGGCTGGTTTTAACTTCAAGAGCCAGCAGCGTGAGCTCCCGGCGGGATGCTGAACTGTAGCAAACCCCCGCTCTCCCATAAAACCAGGAGGATCTTTGCTCCCGCTGTGGACTTCAGGTGCGGGCTAAGAAGGGGGGGAAAAAAATAATAAAATTAAAATAAAAATAAAAAAAGCCCCAAAGGAACAGGGCCTGGTTTAAGCGCTGTTGAAGCTTCCCCCCTCGGCTTTACCCACCTGTTTGCTGGGGCCAGGGCAGGAGCACGGTTCGCGCAGCCCGACGCTACGGGCACCGGCACTGGAAGGGGTACGGGGAGCGGAGGGAAGAGGAGACGAGACCTTCCCCCCCACCCCCCAGCAAGCCTTTCCGAGGGGGGTGTGTGTCCCCCCGCCCTCCCCCCGCTCACCTGGGGCGCCGGCGCCGCCGGGAGCAGCAGCAGCAGCAGCGGCGGCAGCAGCAGCGGCAGCGGCAGCGGGAGGCGGCACCGCGGCCCCGGCATGATCCGGCGGGGCTCTCGGCCGCCGAGGAACGGCTCTCCCGGGCGCCGGCAGCCGCCTCTCCCCGCCCCGGCCCGGCCTGCGACCGACCGACCGACCGACCGACCGACCGAGCGAGCGAGCGAGCTCTCCCTCCCACGCCGCCCCCGCCCCACGCGCGGCCGCGCTCCCCCGTGGAGCGCTTCCACGCCCCGGGGAAACGGGTCCCCACGCCCCGCAGCCGGCCTTTTTCCGGGGCGGGGGGGGGGGGGGGGGGATGCTGCGACCCCCTGCCCCAGCCCCGCCACCCCGTCCTTCCTTCAGCTCCGGCACCCCATTTCCCAGCCCCTGCACCCCCCTTCCCCAGCCCCTGCGCCCCCTTCCCCAGCCTTGCACCCCTTCCTTCAGCCCTGGCACCCCCTTCCCCACCCCTGCCACCCCCCTTCCCCCAGCCCCTGCACCCCCCTTCCCCAGCCCCAGCACCCCCGCAGGAGAGGCGAGAGGCGGCCGGACGGTGCGCGGGGTCCCGGCTCCATCTGCTGGGCTCCGGCCGGGTGGCCGGTTGCTGTACAGCAGCCCCGGCTACGGGAAGAGGAGAAATCCCCCCCAAACTGAGAAGGGATGGGCTGGGGAGGGCCAGGCCATCGCAGGGCAGGGGGCTCCATCCCTCCCCAAACCTCCCCCTCGCAGACTCCTGTTTCCCCGTCCTTGCAAGGGGAGCAATGGTTTCCTTAGCACAAGGCCGGGACAGAGGGAAACTGCTTTTTTTGGGAAAAGACGGTTTTAAGGTGCCCGCTGTTCCCACTGGGCCTCTGGGTTGTGATTTTCGACGAGGGTGTCTCGCAGCATGAGGCCCCCTCCAGCGAGCTGCGCATCAGGAGCCCAGATCATCCATAGGCCCGCCTGTCACAAAAGCCGCAAGAAATGGTGAAAAAGAGGCAAAAAAAAAAAAAAAGAACAGGCCCCACGAGGCCTTGGTGCTGGCGCAGCCTGGATGGCGGGAAGCCAAATCCACGCGTGGGGTGACGGGGGAGCTCGCTGTGTACCCCCACACCTCAGCACCATCCGCCCCAGCCCTGCTCTGTTACTCCGGGGGGGTCAGGGGCTGCCCCTCTGCCTGTGAGCTGCGGGGAGCTCAAATACCAAAAAAATAGTGTTTAATTACAAACCCCTGTGACTTCAGCCCAGGGAAGAGCCAGGCTCCGCCACGAAAATAACGCAGGAAGAAATAAACCAGACGACTGTTTATTAAAATATACCCTCTCTGTCCTTTTCGGGGAGCCCACTTACACCCGGCTGGGCGCCGACTCCCCCCTTTCACAGCAGCACTTCAGAGTCCTCCGCACAGCGCCGGGCGGGCGGCAGCCCCGGCGCCAGCGAGCCGCTGCCAGCGGGCAAGGTGCTGGCCTGGCTCCACGCCGAGCCCTCGCCGGCCGCCCGCTCGGGCAGCAGCGGGACGTAGGCCTCCTCCGCGGGGTCGCCGAGCTGCTCCTCCACCACGTACCTCGTCCCCCATCGTTCATTGTGGTGGACGTCCACGGGCACCAGCGCCGCCGCCGCTCGGGGGGAGCCGGGCTCGGCCCCGTCCCCCAGCTCCAAATCAGAGTCCGCTTGGGGGAAGCCCGAATCCTGGGTGGAGTCCGGGCTCTCCTCGGGCAGGCTGGTGTTGATGTAGATGACGTCCCTGGATTCCCTGACGACGGGCAGGTTTTCCAGCAGCTTCTCCAGATGGACCTTCAGCTGCGAGAACAGCGGGCGGGCAGCGGGGTCAGTTCTCCAGCACGCAGACATGATTTCGTACCTGGAAATTGGGAGAGGAGCGGGGTTATCAGGGAGGATGTTGCCAGGAGCTGGGCTAGGGGACGTCCAGGGGCTAAAATTCCCCGCTTCTCTCCAAAGTGTGCAAGCCCTGAGCTGTTCCTCATTAAAACAACACAAAACCAACTGCCCCCCTCAGGCTGTTTGCCCCAGGGCAGGGACTGCTCAGCCCAAGCTGCTGTTAGAAGTCTCCTTCCAGTGCCTGGCACTCGCTGGGGGTTGGGCAGAGGCAGCCCTGGGATCTGCTCCCCCTGATGCATCTCAGTCCCGCTCCCGGGACACCGAGTCCTCCTCTCATCCTTCCTGCAGCTGCCCAGGCTGGATGTCGGGCGCCCTGGACAGTCCCAGTGCCTCCCTGCAACTCACTGCTGGGCACACTGTTTTTGTGGCCCGCCGGCAGGCTGGATCCTGCAAATGGTTTATTTGCCGCATCCCTCAGGGTTAAACATTTTCAGAAATGCAAATGTTTGAAGTTTCCACGTTTTCCCTTTCCAGATTTATGGATTTTAGGCACTGAAGGGCCCTGAGTAACTAGAGGGAGGTTTGTGGGGCAGAGAAGAGCACCACCAGCTAAGACCTTCTGGCCAAAACTCTCTTGGTAAAAAAATAAATAAATAAAGTACTAAAAAGTCTGATTCCTCCACCACAAACTGCAGAGGGCACTGCTCCTGTCCTCGCAGGACCAGCGAGGTGTCACCACCAGCTGCCGACAACCCAGCTCGTTGTCCCTCTGTGCCAGCCCTGCAAACACATCTCTTTCTCCCAGGATATTTGTTGGGATTTCTGTGTGCTCGTTTGCCTGGAGTTAAGAAGGTGCTTTTTCCTCCCTGGGTGATACGCTGCTCTGGTCTGGGATCTGGCTTTTATTAGGCTCGTCAAAACTCAGGAGATTATGCAAATATTAAGGGGATTGAAGTTTTTGTTTCTGTGATACTTTCATTTCAAATTTGACCCACACCACCCTGGCCAGCTTTCCTCTGAGAGCTAACCTGCACGTGCATTCTTGTAAGCTCCCTGCCTGCCAACTGCACAAGGAAGAAAAGGTTAAATCCTTGCAATTTTTTTAAAAAAATCCAGTCTTTAATAACCGTTGTTTCTGGGGGCTGTGGGAGAAATGGAGGGGGTGAGGCAGAAGGTGACTCCCTCTCTGGTGCAGACCCATTTTCAGACTCTGGTACAGAGGAGGTTTGCAGCAGGTGGGAGCACGGGTGTGCCGGAACAGTCTTTAATTGTGCTGTGATGCACAGCTCTGCAGGCTTTCGGCCCCATTCAGCCCAAAGCCACAAATCCACAGCACAAGCAGTCGTTGTGTCCTCAAAGAAAGGACATCGGCAACTGGGAGCCACAAAGCACGAAGCATAGCACTCCACAGAAACCACCTCAGCTGAGGGCAAGCGACGCAGAGGCTGCCTGCAGGCAGCCAGAGAGCAAACGGGCTGCGCGACAGCCCAGAAGCAGGGTTACAATACTCACAGCTCATCCGAGCAGTCGTCGGGCTTTTTCAGGCGCTGCCCGTGGAAGAGGTACTCGTAGATCTCGTGGTTCTGCACTCCTGGGTAGGGCGTCATCCCTCGGGTCGCTATCTCCCACATGGTAACGCCAAATGCCCACTGTGAGGACAAAGGGAAAGCACGCTGAAAGGACACTTCCAGGAGGAATGAATGAAGCTTTTCATGAGGAAAGGTCACTGCCCGGCGTTCACTGGGCCCTCGCACAATGCTAGGAGTTGTCGCTCCAGTCCTGCCCTCCCCAAAATTGGAAATAATAAGCAGTGCCACAGAAGAGGCGAGCGGCCCACTCAATAAACCTATGTCAGGAGGCTGGGTAGGCAGCGAAAGGTCAGCGCGTCCTCTTACCGACAGCCTCCCGCTCTTCCTGGCTTCACACTTCCAGGGTACAAGAATAACCGTCACAAACTGCCGACAACTCAAGCCAGGGGTTGGTCCCCAGCTCTCCCCTCCTGCCGCCTGGCTGCCCGGCCACACAGACCTACCACATCGCTCTTGGTGGTGTAGACGCGGTCAGCCAGGGACTCAATGGCAATCCACTTCACTGGCATTTTTGCTATTCGGCCCTGCCGGTAGTAATCGCCGCTGTAAATCTTCTTCGACAAACCGAAGTCTGCCACGCACACCGTCATGTCATCCCGTAACCTGTCAGGCAGAAGCAAGGATGACATGATAGGAAAGCTCGATGTGCCAAATTCTGAAGCAGAAACCTGAGGCTGAGCTCTTTTGCCATGCCTCTCAAGACCAAGGGAGGCTTTACGGAAGGAAGCCAAGTTGTGCTGTAAAACCACAGGGCTTCCACTGCTGTTCATCTATCCAGGGCGAAGCAGAGGAAAACAAACTCACATGCAGTTTCGAGCCGCCAAATCCCTGTGGAGAAAGTGCCGACTGCTCAGATACTCCATTCCCAGGGCAATATCAACCATGAACTTCACCAGCGTCTGCAGGGGCACGAACTGGGGAGGGAAGGTGTGGGTTAGGCAGTGCAAGCCCTTTGGGAAGCACGTTTGGTTTGATCTGGAAGGCTTCCCCTGTCCAGGGCTGCCGGCCGACACCCTAGTGGTCTCCCTGGCCTTGGAGAGCACCAGGAGCCCACAGCAGCAGCCACGGTGGCCTCTCTCACCCCCGCTGGGCTAGCACCTTCAGACTTTAAGATGTATTGAATCACAAGCCTGCACGAGCTGCAGATGTGGGGACAGTTGTTTTAGCAATAACATCAAGCACTATCTGCCAGGCTGTGCCACTGGCCAGAAGAGCCCAGCCCAGTGGGGCTCCTCAGTAGGAGAAAGACATGTTGGAGCAAGCCCACGGGAGACCACTAAGGGCTGGAGGAGACGGTGTATAAAGAGGAGCTGGGGTAGTTGGGTTTGTTCAGCCTGCAGGAGGGAAGGCAAGAATCCCACAGGCTTTTGTGGAGCTGGATCTCACTGCTGCCACCTGACAAAGGCAGGAAGCAGGGCTACAACCAAGTCCTCTTTAGTTCTCAAAAAGCAAAGGCAGGTTTGTCCCTAGAAGAGGCACAGTCCCACCTTGCTCCCTGCAGACCCGAGGCCCTCTGCTCCCTGTGACCGTTACCTGGGGGGCCATCTCCAGCCGCGAGCGAAGCAGGAAGCTGTGCAGGTCACCGTATTTCATGAATGGGAGAATCACCATGGGCTTGGGGACCTGCTGGGAGCTCAGCTCAATGCACACACCTGGAAAACACAGACAGGTTGCAAAGCCCCGTGGGCAAAGGCACCACAGCCCCACTGCAGACACCTGCACGGGGCCCAAGCGCTTCCCAGTCTGGGTCCCCAGCCCCGATCCCCGCTGGAGCGCGGGGAGTGAC